ACAGCTTAATCTAAAGCCACACTGGCACAGGAATGAGAGCACACAAACTAGCTGTGAATATGTTTAAGCTGGAAATTAGAAGAACTTTCTATCAAGTGTAGCAGTCAGGCTTGGGGGCAGCCTTCCTGAAAGAGTCATGGGGATAATAAAATTAACTAGGTTTTGGTTGGCACCTGAGGAGCATACACACAGGACTGCAGCACTGCCAGCAGCACGAAGAGCTCACACCCGCTCGATGAGCCTCCTGCTCATTCTACACCTATGGTCCTGTATTCTGCCCTTGCTCCTGTATTCTGAAGCTGTTGCTAAATGCAGGGATTTCCAGAGGAAATGGGGCAAAGTCTCCAAACAAACATATCCCCCTGACCAGAAGGGGCTGCAGTTTCACTTGTGCCTTGGAGTTGCTTTTCATCCGTGCACAAATGCTACAGTAACTGTGCACATTTTGTTATCCGTCCAGAGTTCACAGCTCTTAATTCCAGCTGACACTTGGGTGCCAAATGAACACATCACAAGATGAACATGGCTGCACATTGCACACACAGTTCTGCCTCAGATGAGCCCCTTTCCCAAAGCAGCAGCACCCAGACCAGTAGGCCTGGCTCATAGGGCCGTCTGAAAACTGGGGCAGTCCTGAGGAGAAACAGCCAGGAGGGGGGCAGCTGGGGAGCCAGCAGAGAACTGGAGAAAGAGTTTTTTGAACCTTACAGCAAAGTAATGGCTTCTGCTAGGAACTGGGATGAGGAAAGAACAGCCCTACGGGCAGGAACACCAATACTACAGAAGGCTGAGCAGGTGCTGCCCTTCTTTTGAGGCCTAGTGGATCCAAGCCAGAGGTGCTCAGCAGGATGCGGTACTGAGGGAGGATGTTCCTGTGTCCCTGCTGCTGGCACTGGGCATGGTGTGTGGGCAGCCAGTGGCACTCCAGGCTGAGCCTGTGTTCCTGTGGGAGCAGCCAGGCTGTGGGGAGATCCCGCCTCAGGTTCAGCTCCTGGCTGCCACTGCCAGTGCCATGCTGCCAGCAGCGAGCTGAGGGGCTCTGCAGGCAGGAATTTTTCCCAGTCATGCAGTAAAGAGAATTGCCAGCATTAAATCCAACTCCTAATAAAAAACTACGGCTGCCTCTCAGCACAGAATAGCTGAAGGTGTTTGGCGAAATACAGACATCTCCCTCCTCACTCAGGTGTAAATTGGGAGGAGCGGGGATTGAGCAGTTCAGTTGCTGCCTTTTCCTCTAGGATTCCTCTTTTCCTTTGAATCCAGATGTGCGAGCCCTATGTGTGGTACACAAAGAGTGGCAGCGAACTGCAGCTCAACAAGGCTGGCATTCTGCATGCAGGGCTGGCGGAATTCCTGCTCCTGGAGCAGGGGCTGACGCAGCTCACGCCTCTCCTACAGCCCCTTGAGCCTCATTCCTTTGCAGTGCTGTTGCTGTCTTGTGTCAGATGTCTCTGTTCTGCTGTACTCGGGGCCTCTCCTTTCCTTGGGAGATTATTACGGGGTTAAAAACACAAAGAAGACATTTAAAATTAAAATTAAAACTTATAATAATAATGCTCAGTACTTATCTCACCCTTGCCATCTTCAAAGTGATTTACAAATGTTAACTAATTAATTAATTTCCACATTCTCCCTGACTCAAATTCAAAGTCAAGGATGAAGTGATCAGGGAAATAGAAAGCATGGTTTTCAGGTGAAGGGCAAAGGGAAACCTCTGCTCCTGCCCACTATTTGCTGCAAGACAAGGCCATTTGCAGCAATATTCTCATTCTGTGCCGAGCAGTTCTCATTTATTTTTCAGCCATACAAAAGGTCTAATTTTATCTGCTACCTTCTGTTTCCTTTTTTTCTTAATGGAGGTCTTAAAGGTGCTCCCTTTTGAAAGCGAACAAACGGAAAGACTTTCAGCGCTGTGCAGATGCCTCTCCTTCAAATACATTTAATCCCTCTCTCTGGACGCACATGGCACAACGGGGCCTTGAGAAGCGCAGGGCCATGGTAGTGTCTTGAAAATGCAAAGTGACAGTGTGCCCAAGCTGTGCTCATAACAGCTCAGTGCAGAAAACAGCCCGTGATGCTAGAGTACTGCCCACCTTGCTGCAGGCTCTGCAGCCTGAGTGCCAGCTGTGCTCTGCCAGACAGCTGTGCCTGCTCTTCCAGTGGTGGGTTCTTGACAAATGTCGAGAGGTGCCACCACACCATGCCCATTACATCACGTCACAAGCTTGGGGTAGCTGTGAAGTGCCCAAGTGCCACAGATCAGTGCTCTTTAACATCTTCACTGGTGATATTGGCGATGGGATCGACTCCACCCTTAGCAACTTTGCAGACAACACCAAGCTGTGAGATGGTTGACATGCTCGAGGGTTGAGATGCCATTCACAGGGACCTAGACAGGTTCAAGCAACGGGTCCAGGTGAACATCAGGAGGTTCGATAAACCCAAGTGTGGGGTCTTGCACCTGGGTTGTGGCAACTCTTGCTATCAAGACAAGCTGGGAAATGAAAGGATGGAGCACAGCCCTGTCGGAAAGAACTTGGTGTTACTGACAGATGGCAGCTGGGCACAAGCTAGCCATGTGCCCTTGCAGCCCAGAAAACAAACTGTATTCTTGGCTGTATCAAAAGAAGTGTGGCCAACAGGGCAAGGGAGGTGATCCTGCCCCTCTGCTCCGAGCTAGTGAGACCTCACCTGGAGTACTGCGCCCAGATGTGGAGTCCTCAGTACAGGAGAGACGTGGACCTGTTGGAACACATCCAGAGAAGGGCCACAGAAGTGATCCAATGGATGGAACACCTCTCCAAGGACACACTGAGAGAGCTGGGGCTGTTCAGCATGGACAAGAGGAGGCAATGGAGAAACCTGATAGCGGCCTTTCAGTGTATGACAAGGGGCTATAAGAAGGAAGGGGACAGACTCTTCAGCAGGGTCTGCTGTGACAAGACAAGAGGAAATGGTTTCATACTAAAAGAGAGGAGATTTAGATTGAATATAAGGACATTTTGTACAATATAAGAGATGAGGCACACAAACAGGTTGCCCAGAGCTGTGGTGAAAGCCCCATCCCTGGAAACATGCAAGGTCAGGCTGGACCAGGTTTTGAGCAACCTCGTTTAGCTGTAGATGTCCCTATTCATTGCAGAGGAGTTGGACTAGATGACCTTTAAGGGTCCCTTCCAGCTCAAAAGATTCTAATTTACCTTCTGTTCCCCTTCAGAGCCTGTTCTCTGTTCTCCCTCCCTAGGTTCAAGGCATGGTGGCTTTACAAGTGGCTCCTCTTCCGAAGGACATGTGATTGCTACCTTAGTGCTTGCCAGGTAGCATTTCCCCCGTTAACATTTCTCCTAGACTTGCCCTTCCCAGAGGTGGGCAAATTTGATGCATGCAGTCATCACTGCATCTCTCAGACATTTGCAAATGCGGAGAGCACAGCGACCTTCCTCACTGAAACAAACAGATGAAGGTGATGCTATGCAGAGGGAGGAAGGCTCAAAATAATTTAAACAAAAGCTAAAAGCATAGTCACAACCCCTTGCTGTGTTTTATGGAAAACAGGACTCATCAAGTAAACTCACTATTGCTGCCAATTAGGCAGATCTCTCTAAGAATGCTGAGACAAACCTGATATAGGTACCTGCAATCTGCAAATCTGCTCCCACAGGCAGATTTGCCCCTCCTGCCTGGACAACATCATGCCACAACTCTCTTGGTATGTCTGTGTCAGCTGGCTGCACCTGATACCTTGGTGCATGGGATCATGAATCTGGAGAGGTGTGGGGCTGCCCTTATGGAGCCCTTGACCAGGGACAGCCATAACACAGGAGCAGCTTGCATGTCCTACCTGACACAGATCTGCCTGTGACCTTGCACATGGGGCCTCTGCTGCCCACAAAGATGGAAGTTGCCTGTAATTGCTGGCAGTTTCTGGGCACAGGAGACAATCATTTCCCACTGGAACTCAGTGCTGCAGTACATCAGTCCAGAATCAGCAAAATAATATCAGTTATGACACAAAATGGCACTTTGTGGTGTTTGAGATGACCTCACACCTTGTCACCTCTACAAAAATGGTCTCAACCCCTTCACTGCCATATGCCCTTAACAAGTCTTGCTCCCCTCTGTACTGCCTCCCCTCTACTGCTTTAGCTCCAGCTCTCATAGGTTTGCATAGAGAAATGATGCAGACAAGACTTCATCCAAGCCAATGAAGTGAGTAAGTCCCATTCATGCAGACAAAGTTCAGGGTTTTCTGTTGTTACACACATTTTTTGGTGGTTTGCTTACGCACAAAAACCTAGATTCAGGGAATCAAATGTTAGCACAGGCAGAACTGAGTGGGTATAGGAATCACAATGTCAATTTATATCAGCGTACACTGTCACAGGGCCATCATGCAGTGTGACATGCAGCTGGCTGTCTCTGCTCCAAGCCAGTCTCACAGATGCATCCTCTGAAGAACATGATGCCTTTATTCTGGGCACCTCACAGCAGACAATTTCACTGCATTTTTTTCAGCCAGACTCTTGGTGTCATTGAAGAACAGGTTGAGCAATGCCTATTCTATGGAAACTCCCCAGAAGGGCATTGAGCATGTTACTGCCATTTCTTTTTCAGACAATTCTCTATCATCACTTCTCATTTTTTCCCCAAAACCTATGAATATATACTACCGAAACAAACATGATTTTTTTCCCCTCAATGCCTGCATCTATCTTTGAGGGTCCCCAATATTCTGGATGCAAATAAATTATGTAAGAGACTCTTTAAATCCCATTTAAGGTTAATTCTGGCTTTATGGACTTTTATCCCAAAAGAAAAAGTGTGGCATTTCCTTCAAAACGAGAGATACTCTGAAGGCACTGCACCCATAAATACGTCAGGAGCTCTCAATATCATGGCTTATTTTAAAATATCTAAAAATCAGTAAATGAGGTAAACAGACACCAACACAAGAGCACAAGTTTGTATAGATATGTCCATAGATCTATATTTTTATTGTTTATATATATTTATAATATATTTATATTCTTTTAAAAGAATCCCTTCAAAAACTACCCTCCCACCTAGCAAAACAAAGATTAAACAATCAAAGATGGCAGCTGCATCCTGGAACAAAGTGTCCCAGGGGTATCAGAGAGCCAAAATGATTGCTGAGCATCACTGCACTCTTTCCAAGCTTCTGTGATGCCCTACAGATGCAAAGGTGACAGACAGACTTTTATGACTCTTTAAATTTACCTGTCAAAAGACAGGGACAGAGAAAGAAATGTGATTGTGGTGACGGAACCTTGAGGGGTAGGGGAAACAGCAACGCATTCAACTGGAAGCTTAGAGTGTGAAATGTCATGATTAAAAGGTGGGAAGCACTGCCCAGAAAGGAAGTAAAGAAGACAGAAAAGAGAACATGCAGGAAAATTAGTTGGCAAGACAGATCTCAGAGATGAGCTCAGGAGCATCACACTTAGGAGATGGAGGGGTAGCAAGAGTCCCAAGTCTCTTCCTCTCACCCTCCCACCTGTGAAGGGAGATCCAACTAGTTTGATTTAGACCAAATCTTCGCACTGCCCCGGAGCCTGTGGAGAGAGGAAGAAGTTTTAGACTGGACACTAAACTTCATCTCTGACTTCCTTTTCTAAGTGTACACAAAGAGCAGCTGGCATTCATGGAAGGCTTATGAATTGTGCTTCATATCAAAAGCTGCACCCGCTGAATTAGCAGGAGGCAGAGGTCAGCCTGGACCATCCCAGGTCCAGGGTGCAGATCCCTGCAGTCAGTGACCTTACTTCTACAAAACAGAACTCCCCTGAATACACATAAGGCAGTGGCTATGTTTGTTTGCCACCATTCCTCACCCTTTGGCTTTGGAAGTCTTCTTGCTGGTCTGGCGCTGGTTGGTGCCAGGGGCAGGTTCCCTGAGCTCTGTGAGGTGCTGTTCTGGGTCTTGAGATGTGGCTGCAGCAGCAGCTGCTGTTGTCACTTTAATTGTCTTCTTCAGATTTGCCACCTGTAAAAGCAGTGAAACAAGAACCAAGGAATTTCTCATGGATTTTTTTTTTCTCCTCTTCCCTTTTTTAAAAGACCTGGAGCTGAGTGCTAACTGCTGTCCAAATCTCTGCAGTGCTGAGAAGTGTTTAGTTGAATCACAGTTCTTCAGGCACAACCCCCAAATGGTTTTAGCACAGGGTAATGCCTTACTTGAGCAAGTGCTGTAGTAACAACAGGATACTGGGTCTATTCTTTCTTTAAGCAAGGGGTACTGCCTTCTCCCTCTTCAGCCCACTCACCTCACTCTCTATCTGCTGCTTAAGTGCCAGCTGTTGTTCTTTGTGTTGGTTGGCTCGGCTGACCTGTTCTTCAATGCCAGACAACACAACCTCACAGCCCTGGCACCTGTAGAGAAAATGGTATGCTGAGCAGAACAGGCAATCTGTACTGCAGGGAAACATGAAGATGATAGATTTAACTGTAGAGACCAAAAATTCTGGAAGGCAATGGCTACTCTAGGCAGGGTAGGCACAGGGGCAGCAGTCCAATGTAATAACGTAGTGACATTATTACCTAGGAGGGAGACACATAACAAAGTGGCACTAGGTTAGGAGCTACAGATGTATACTCAGAAAGACTCTTGCCAGCAGCTGGGACTGGATGCAAAATTTGCTGCAGTTTTCCTCACCCCTCCAGTGTGGAAGAACTTGGAAAATTATTTTCCACTGCCGTAAGGGAAAAAGGATAGAGAAGGTCACATTGCTACTACTGCCCCCCAGCAACACACAGAAGATGATCTGGTGAAGCCCCTGACCATTCCTGCAACCTTTTAAGGTGTTAGTATGGGCGGCTTCCTCCTCACCACTCCTGCAATGTGCGGGTGATGGTGCTTAGCTCCTCCCTCCGGATGTCCCTCCCAATGCTGTAATCCACCTCCAGGCGCTGGTTCCGCTGATCCAAGCTCCCTCGCAGCACATCTGCGTACACCGCCTCGATCACGAGGTCCTCCAGTTGCCGGACATTCTTCAGCTGTAACTGCTCCAGCAACACCGAATACGGGATGCACTGTGGGGACATGACAGTAACTATCACGAGGTAAACTCAGAAGAAGGAAAACTGGAGGTAAAATAGAGGAATTACCTTGATCTTGGCAGCCAGAGTGACGACTGACAGGTGCCTCAGTTTGTTCTTCTGAGCCTCTGTCAGGGGAGGGAGGTTTGCTGCTTCAGCTGTCATCAAAGGGAAGAACCGGGTATTAGAATTTATACCTCATTTTCTATTACCCAGTCCCGCAACACAAACATTTGCACCAGTCCCATTTCTTAGAGCTTCAGCACACCAATCCCCAAAGCGATGCTTTATCTTGACAAGTCGTCACCATTAATCCACAGCTCAAAGGACCTTTTCTGAGCAGCCTCTTCTCCGCTTCAAGCCACCTCCTCTAGCTGTCCCACACCTTATTTACGGAGGCCTCCGCATCCCAACGGATTCCTCAGTCCTTCCCTCCCTCCACTCCTCACAAACACCTTCGCCAAGATGTTTTTGGAAGTTCCCCACGCAGCACGCAAACGGCAGCACGCAGGCAGCAGCGCCTGTTACTGTGGGCCTCCTCGGCCCCATGCCCAAACACAACCTCGCTCCCAGCCTGGCGGCGCAGGGCGCAAACCCCCGAGCCCGATCTCACCCAGGTAGTCGGCGTAGGTGCCGTAGGCGAAGATGGTGAGCAGGTGGAAGACGGGAGAGAACTCGGAGTCGGCCAGCTGCGGGACAGAGGGAGAGTCAAGCCCCGCCGCGCCCCAGGCCCAGCCGCGGGCGGCAGGGCAGGGCAGGGCAGGGCAGGGCAGGGCAGGGCAGGGCAGGGCAGGGCGTGACGGGGCGGGCTCACCTCGCGGACGGCCGGCATGTCCAGCAGCTCCCCGAAGACGTAGATGCCCGGGGCCTCCAGCACCTGGTGGATGAGACTGGCGAGCGCGGCGCCGCGGGCAGCCTTGGCCAGCAGCAGGAACTGTTCCTGGCTCTGCCCCGTCACCTTCCCCTCGGCCGCCATCCCGCCGCCGCCGCCGGGGACTCGGCCCCGCCGCGATGGCGTCCCGCAGGCCCCGGCCCCGCCGCCGGGCGCCACCTCCAGCCCGCCCCGAGACCGCTCCTCTATGGTGGCGGCGTCGCACGAGCGTCCGCTTCCGGGTGTGACGCCACGCGGGCAGAGCGGCGGGGCGCCCCCTGGCGGCGGAGGACTGCTCGGGCGGGGCGGGGCGGGCCGGGAGGTCCCGCTGGCGGCTCCCGGTGCTGGCCGGGGTTTGCCGTCCCGGCTTCGCGCCGTTGGGCTCCTCGGAGCTCGGGGCCAGGCCGGAGCTCGGTCTCCACGCTGAGGCTGCCGGCAGGAGGGGGGCGGTGCTGGGAGGCCGAGGCGGAAGTCTGAGTTACAATGGTGGCGGCCCCGCCACTCGGATGGCGTGGAAGTCGCTCGCTGCTCACCACGGCCGCGAGCGTCGCCACGAGCGCCGTGGCCAGGGATGTGGGGAATGGCCGTGATTACTCTCAGAGATAGCGAGCCCTGCGGTTCTCCTTACGGAGGGATGGGGGGAGGAGAAGGGCTGACAAGGTCGAGCAGGGGCCGTGCAGGTGGACTGCAGGGCAGCATCGACACGAGGTACAGCTGTCGCCTTCCTGCGTTCACCTCTCTGTTCTGTGCTTAGGTCCCCTTCACCACGCCCTGACACCTGATGCGTCCACCGACACCAGCACGGGGTGCATTCCGATCAGGTTAAAGAGTAGCCCTGCTGTTCTGTAGCATTTATTGCTCTCTCCCCCACCCCCTCGCTGCCTCCTTCCATCTCAGTTTTATCTCCCTATCGATCTGTTTCTCTCACACTCTCTGACACGCTTGCCGCCTTTCATTATTAGTCCGATAAAACAAGGCAGCCTGAGCATCCCAGCTGCACCAGCCTCCCTCTGTTCTCCTCCTCCGCGCTGACCCCAGGTCCTGTGTGCTCTTTGCTGGGCCACCACAATTTTTCTTCTCCTTTGTCCTGCATGGAGCTAAAACAAGGGCAAGGAGTGAATCATACCCTGAGCTCTCTAAATGAGAAGGCCATCATCTTCTCTGAACACACAAGCGCTCGTGTGAGCGCACGGCATCTTACCCATAACTTAGCAAAGTCTTTGCCTCATCCCTAGATCAGAATGACAGATGTTGAGATTAAATTCCAGACTTTTGGAGTCTCTAAGTCTCAAGATTTCATTTCATTTTGTTACAAATTCTTGAGTGCCTATCTTAACGTTACAGGGAAACTGTGAAATGAGATCTTGGTGTAACCTGAGTCGAACATTAAGAGTCAAAAGTAGGAGGCAAAGAGTGCAGATGAACGCAAGCCTTTACAGCGTTTCCAAATTTTAAGATGTATCTCGTAATACTGGGAGGTTGTGGGTTATTATTTCTGAGCGTTGGGGACTTGTAGTTCTCTCTGCAGCTACCTCTCACATTACCCCCCTCTTCTCAGAATGAAGCACCATTCTTTTCCTGCTGTAGATCCACCTTCTTTCCCATGCACCCACTGCCCCAGTTTAAAGCCTGCAGTCATACTGCATTGTTCTAGGTTGCTTCTCTCTTTACCACTGCAAAATCAAAATGATTTGTCAATATGCTGACAATATTTTTTCTCTAGCCCTTCTCCAAACGTAGTCTGGGTCACATCTTCTGAGATGATTTTTCACAACTCTGTGCAAGTGCCACAGACTCTTAGGCAACAAGCTTGTAAGGATGAGGGAGAATGGGGCAATCTTTTTGGCAGGCAACATGATAGAAAGATTTTTAACCCTGTAACTTGTACCAGGTTAACACACAGGGTGGTAAGATCTGTGCCTAATTACATCTAGGGCAGCCTAACACCTATTGCTTATAAAGGAGTTTAAGAGGAGGGTGGCTGCACAGTAACTCTTATTCCCATGCACTCTCACAGCCCTTGGGAATTTGCAGATCAGGAACTCTTTTTTTCAGACAGCCTCCAGTCATGATTCTCCAGAAGAGAAAGGAACCTTCACATCACACGGTGGCTTGTGTCTGTGATTAGGCATTGTCCAGTGACTGGCTCTCGTTTATTCTCTGCCAGAATACCTGGTATGCTTTTCCCCAGGAAGGAAGTCATGCTGTAGTCAGGTCATGTCTCTTTCTGCTTTTTGATAAGTTAAGCAGGTTGACCTCTTTAAATTACTGAGATCTCTAGCCATCTTTGATTCAAAGTTATTTTTAAAGTGTGGACTTCAGCATTAGGTCAGAGAGAAGCCTGATCATCTCCCTTCTTCTCCTCACTCTTGTCTTTGCATACCCAGGCACTGCAGTATTGTCCACAGAGATTGTGTTGGTGTTGTTTTTTGTTTGTTTGTTTGTTTGTTTTCTCTCTGATTCCTTTTAAGATCACCTTTTTTCAGTACTGAAAGTTGATCACTGTAGACATGGTCTTATCTTCTTCATCGACATCTTTTCCTTTTCACAGCTGTACAATTTGCTCTCATCTGTCTTACAAGAAGTTTTATGAGAGTACCAATGCAACAGGTCATTCTGCACTGGCCCTACCCTTGTTATTTTTAATACTAACAATATTTGTGTCTTCAGCAAACTGTGTCAGAATAAAACATATCTGTGCTTGGTGAGAATTAAATGGTGTCTTACACTGGACCTAGGACTCATACCTAGGCATCCACATCAGAAACTGTCATTCAGTGAGGGGCTTTTAGGGATGAGCCCTTTGCATTTGGTTCAACATAGTGAACTGGTCCACTTAATCTCCTGCTCTGTTAATATTGTGTAATGCTGTTTTTTTCTCACCAGATTGTTTTGGGATATTAATGCTTCCAGAAGCCTAAATAGATCTAAGCCATCACCTATTCCAAATAAACCTGAAGTCACATCAAAGACTGACAAGAACAAAACAAGTTTATGCAGCAAGATCAGTCTCCTTCAAATCAGGCTGTTTGGCATTAGCTGGAGAATCTCATATCAGCTCTTCTCTTGCTTTGCCTAGAAATTTTCAGGTCTTCTGTTTGCTCTTTACAAATACCAGCACAGCACTGCTCTTCTCTAGTCTTCTGGGATATCTCTGAGATTCCAGAACTTATTAACAAGTTGTTTTTTTGAGCAATAGGACTGACGAACCTGGCTTCTCTAAGGATTTGTTGCCTGTGTGTTTTATACTTGCCGTGCCATCAGCTGAGGTACCTTGATGACACCCTTTCTGCAATGTGCCACAGCTGTGAGTCCTTTCCCCTCGCCTGTAGCCAATGCCTTGGGCTCGTCCTTCACCACTCTCTAGCACATACAGCTTCTTCAGTATTTTCTGCTTAATTTATTTCAGCCTCCTGGCCAGACTGCTCTGACCAGCAGGGTTTTGCCCAGCAGCATGGCCATGGGGTCTCCTCCAGCACAGTCACTAGCAGCATCTCTGTCTGACTGCTGGTTTTCTCTCATACAACTTATTGGAGCTTATTTACCTTTCAGACTCTGCTTCATTTGTCAAGTCCAGCTGAATGTGGCTCATGGCAACTGACAGATGAGCTGATGGACTGATGGGCAGCAGAGCAACCGCAGGAGCCTCACTGCCCTCAGGACACAAAGCTAAATCAGAGCAGCAGAGGTCCACTTGGCCTCAGGACTGGTGTAAATAACCTCTACGTGATGACTGTGCCAGACAGAAATAACAGCCTTCCATCTTTCTAGGTGCAGTGGTGCAGAAGGTACGTTATTGATCCTGGTCCAAATCTTGGCCAAATACACAGCAGAGGGAGTTTTCACATTTCCATCTTCATTTCGTCATCACATCACCTTCACTTGAACACCCTCAGAATAACACTTCTTTCTTAATATATCTCTCTCATCTTCTCTTTTCCACCTGCAGCTCCAGCAGCCCACCCGACTGCAGCTCTTCACTCAAATGTCCCTGTTGTTTCTTGCTACCTTTCCTTTCAGCCCATCCCAAGTGTTTCCTTTTGCCACTCTGCTTCTCCAGACCCATGCTCCCAAAGAAGCGTGCCTTTCCCTTTGTGTCAGGTGAGAGTGATGTAAGCATGACATCAGCTCCTGCGCTTGCTGTTCGCATTGCCTCCATGCCTTTCCTGACTTCTCTCACACCTCCCAGGGTTTCCTTGATCCCTACAGCATCTTCCTCCTCCTCCTCCTCTTTCCTGCCTCTGGCTTCCTTCTGCAGTTTTGCTCTTCAGGGGGATTTTCAGTGTTTGCGTCATTTGGATTTTCGCCCTTTAACTGACCTTTCCCTGGTTGAATTTTCTCAACTGTTTTGTGCTTCCCAATTATTCTAAACACATTCATCATAATTTGAAAAGGTCAGAAGGAGCCTGCCTGGCTGAGGTAGCCCCTTCCAGAGCTTTCTGCCCTTGGCTCCCCTTGGACCCCAACCACAACAAGACAGGCAGCACAGTCCTGTCCTGCCCTGTCCTCTAGCCATCCTAAGCAGCAGCATGCTGGCACATCCAGCCATGCACAGTCGCTGTCCCAAATGTAAAAATCCCACGGGCACTTCCAAAGGCTTACAAAAGCCCTGATGGGTGAAAGGTGTGCACAGTCCTGCTCACAAGTGTGTGAACTCACAGAGGGTCTGATGGACAGCAGCAGCTTCAGAGCCCTAAGATCTGTCAGAAGGTGGCACAGCCTGTTCCAGGTAACGCGCTGCACTTGGGCTGTGTACTGAGTGCCCTTTGGTCACCTGTGTCCATTCCTGGTACTGTGGCAGGTTGCTTCATAGAGCAGCACCGTCTGTACTATTTCCTGTTTTAGCAGGGTCAGTGACAGCCTTTCCTCATCACTTCATGATGAAAAGTTTGATTGTTTCTGAGGATCTGAGGAAATTGCTTTCTGGCTCCCTCATATTTCAGACCCTGGAGTGGAAGCTGCCTTGATGCCTCTGACTTTCATCTCCTATCCAGGGCTGCTCGGCAGCCGCCTCTTGATTTGGCCTGTGCCTGCTAATGGTGCTGAGGGCGAATCTCCCTGCAAAACACCCAGCCCCTCCAAGGCACATAATCTTTTTTTCTCTCCTTCCACCGCCACATCCCTGCCATCTCCAGACGCATCCATCGATCCCCAGCAGAGACAGCTCAGGGACCTCCGGGGCGATCCCGTGGCTGGAGCAGACCCCGCTCTGCTCTCACAGCACCCAGTGTCCCACTCGGCCCACGCATGGGCGCCTCGGCTCTGCCCGTGGGGCTCCCCCGGTCCCACGCCGGCCGCGGCTAAGGCCCTGGGCCCGGAGCTCGGCGAGACGGGGACGCGGGGCGGGGGGAACGAGGAACGAAGGCGGCGGGGGCGCGGCGGGGAGGGGATCCCGAGGGGTCCCCGAGGCCGGAGCCGTCCGGCGGAGGCGTTCGCTCTGCCGAGGGAAGCGGCGGGTCCCTTGGAGACACCTCTCTCCATAGCAACCCAATCGCTTCCTGGGAAGATCCCGAAATAACCGACACGACGGGAACGGCGCGGAGCGGGCAGCGGCGGCGGAGAGACAGCAGCACCGGGCAGGTCCGGCGGGGCGGCCGGGGAGGGCGGGGAGGGACCGGCGGTGCCCTTGCAATCCCGGCACCGGGGCTCCGGGCGGCGGGCCCCCCCGGCGGGCGCTCCTCGGACTGCAGCAGGCTCGAGGGCGACGGTGCCGGCCCGCGGCCGTGCCAGCAGCCATGGGGTTAACGGGAGGCAGCGAGCGAGAGAGACGGAGACGGAGAGAGAGAAAGAGGGGCTGGACCAGCGCTCGGCAGCTGTTTATTTCAAGGCATCTCTCGCTCCCTCTCCCTCAGCCAGGGCTCAGCCTCGCCGAACCTTCCTTCTCCTCCTCTCCTTCTTTCGTCCTGACCATGAGCGGCAGCGGCGGCAGCGGCCGTGCCCCTCCGGCCCCCGGCCCCGCCGCCCCGGCTGCGCCCCGCCCGGCTCCCTGCAAGGTAAGTTCGCTCCGGGCTCGGGCACGGCGTGGGGACGGGGCCGCAGGGCGAGGGGCGGGCGGTGTGCGCCCGTCCACGAATCCTCTATCCCCGTCTCCTTCCCCGTGTCCTTTCTCCCTTCTTCTTTCCCCTCTCCCCATCGAGGTGCCCGTCCCCTCCCAGCCGACTGTCTTCTTCCCCCGCTGCTCCTCCTTCTCCTCTCCGGGCTGGAGGTACCGAGAGACCGGGAGGGAGCGGGCACAGCCGCGGCGTTGCTGCCTCTCGCCCTCCAGCTCCGGGCTCCATCACAGACCTGTTGTTCTGGAGCACCGGAGCCTGCGCTGAACCAGACGACTTCAGCCTAATTGGCGCAGCTGGAGAGAAGAAACGGAGAGGTCAGTCCCTCCTCCTGCACGGCCAGGGGTGCATCGTGCCACAGAGAGCGACTTGGATGGGGAGACGGCACCTGGAGCACTCGGATGCCCGAGAACAGTAGGAAGCTGGGAGGCAGGAGATTGGCAGACTCATGACATGTATTGCAGGCAGGCACTAGATGGCAGGGGACCGGCATCCTAGAGTGCTGGCTGGAATGGGGCCATGCTCACAGTTCCCAAATGCAGGGAAGACTTGAGCTCAGAGGACCGCTTGTCAGGGATATCCGTAATGAATCCTGTTCCCTAGATACCGAGGTTTCCAAATCCACGGGCACCATCACTCTGCATCCCTGGATTGTGCCCTAGCCCAGCATTTCCATGCCCAGCCCACGGGTGCTTGCCCTGGCACCCAGCAGTGGTATGCCCGCCAGCTGGCACCAAGCCCTGCAAGACCTGCACTGACACTGGGTGAGCCCACGGGCTGCTCTGTGAGGCTGGCTGGACCACAGCACTACCACCAGCCTATACCCTGTCAGGAAGCAGGCAGAGCAGCCTGACATGAGCCACCACATTCAGAATGCCAGCCCCGAGGTCAACTTGCTCTGTGAGCCATCATTCCCACAAGCACACAGGAACTCCCTCCCCAGATGGGCTCAGCTTCTCCCGTGGCTGGGCACCAGTACTTGGCTTCGCACCTCCAGCGGTCTGAGCTCCTTCAAGTGCAGCAATTGCCTCCTTAGGGCAGCTGACCTGGAAGCCTTCCCTTTCCCCATTCCCTCCCAGAAGGATGCAGAATCCCTTCTCACCAGCACTGATGCTCATGGTTGCTGCTACCAAAATGATTACAGCTCTGCATCTTGGACCACAAGCTTCAGGATGCTCGCAGCCACCAAGAAAAACGTAGATGTGGGATAATCAGGGCACAAGCGGTGTTGCAGCATCTCACTGCCAAGTGTCCCAACTCTCTCTGCTCAATGCCCAGAGGAAGCTGCTGGGCTCCACAGTCCCAGAATGCCATTACCTATCAGTAGCTATCACCATAGTCCTGGTGCTGGCTGGGAGTTACAAATGCCAGCCAGCGTTCTGCCTCCGTGAGCAAGGCTGGGTCCCCCTCAGGTTTGTTTTGATTTTTTATTACCATTCCGAGTGGGATCGTTGCTGTGGGGGAGCGGGCAGAGAGAGGATTTGCATGAAGCTCTCGGTGCTGCAGGGTTGCTAATGGCGAGTGCTATTTCAGCTGGTAGCAAGTTTCATAATCTTGGCCCAGCTCTGGTGGATGTTCTGTTCCTCAGGGTCGTAAGCCTCTTTCCCCTTCTCCTATCCCTCCCCCCGCTCCCCAAAGTGGTCGGCAATTTTGTTGTTCCTCTGGAATATATCTGTCACGTGAGGTCATCACTGCATAAGTAGAGGTGATTGATTGCTTAGGTTGCAGGGCCCCATCCCATGTTGGGGCTTGAATACTGGCTTGGAGACCTTAACCAGACCCGGTTCTCGCAGGAGAGCGGTGTGGAGTGCGGAGAGGCACGGTGATGCATTCCCGACAGATTGAGTGGCTGAGCAAACAGACTGCTGCATTTGGAACTAGCTGGAGCGCTTGGAGAGCAGACAGCTCCATTCCTAGAGGCACAGTAGCACAGCAGTCAAGCCCGAGATGCTACAAAAATACAGATAGATCATCGTCTGCCAGCCGAGCCAGGCAGGAGTGGGCGCAGCTCCCTTCCCATCCCCAGATAGAGGAGGCTGCCCGCTTGTCACCAGCATGTCCTGCGTGTGCTCGGCCTCACCCAGAATCCCCGGTCAGAGTCGATCTCTGCTTGGCACCAAGAGAGCTGCGAGATTCTCAGATTTTAGGGCCGGGGGACCATTTTGATCATCCAGTCTGATCTACAGTGCTGCACAGGCCAGAGAATTTCACCAGTTTCATTTTCTGTGTCAAGCCCATGGCCTCTGGTAGAACTACAGCATCTCTGAGAAATACATGTAAATGCTTCAGACAGCAGGGAATTCACCAACTCTCAGGCAAACCGTTCTAGTATGTGGCCCTCTTTATTAATAGTATTGTTCCTCATATGAATTTGTTATACTTCAGTATTTTGTAACAAAAGGTTACAGATTGCATTTGATGTGAGGGAGCTACAGCACAGGTATTGCTGCACGTGGCAGGCACCTCCACTCTTCTATTCCAGTGAGAGCTTTTATATTTGAATAGGATTTCTCCTATACCAGAGTTTTAGACATGGAGGAGTTGCCCATAGTAAATCTCAGGGCTTCCACCCAAGCATGGTGACATCTGGATTCCAGAGCTCAGGAGTCATATCTGCAGTTCAACCTGTGCTCCCTGCTCAGAGCTGGCATGCAGCAGGTTGCACTCCCAGGCACTAGTTAGGGTGCACATTCCCCTCTCCCTTGGTGAGCTGCCATGTGTGCTTTGGGGCAGGGCTGCTGAGATCTGCTCTCACATCCCAGCTGCTGTGGCTGTGGGCTGCAGGAGATTTACAGAGGGAGGATGCTTAGCTGTGTCACTGGCTTAGGGGAGCAGCAGCATGATTTGGGCTTCCATCCTGCAAATTCACTCAGAGCAACTCCTAAAAGATTGGCTCCAGATCTACAGTCTGACCCCATGATGGGGTCTGTACGCAATAGCAACGAGCAATGTAATTCTTACTCCTTGCTTCCAAGCACCGAGATTCACAAACTGAGCTCAGTGAAGTGCCCTGGGGAAATAGCTTTGTCATTCACACTCTGTCATCTGTGCATAACAGGACACTGGAACACGGTGATGAAGGCCCTGTACCTAGAGTGAAAGCACACAGGTCCATCTCTCCACCCTGGAAGCAGCCCTGTCCATTTTTATCACAATTAGACCTGGAGACAGCTGAAAGCAGGAACTGTGCCAGGTGGTGCTGGTGCAGAAATCCAGCCTCCCCGGCAAACAACAGCCACCTGAATGGTGTGAGGTGCAAAGACACTGGGATTTGTATCTCCAGGCAGGAAGAGCATTCAAGCTCCCTCCTTCTCCCCAAAGATCTGCTATTCTTTTCAGCAGCAGGATAGAAACTGAGTCAAGGGCATTTGCTGTGCTTGCCCTGAAGCATGGCAGTGTCTGTCCCCAGGACACAACTCCCCCTGTCAGCAGCTCAACGCAGAATGCCCCAGACATGCTTTATCTGCTGCTGTGCAGGTACACTGCAGGGAGATCCAAGCCCTGCTCTCAGCACCAGCACTGAGTGCATAGGAGAGACCAGCCCTTGCTGACTAGCATTTCAGCATGAATTCCTTCCCCTTTGCTCTCATGTGGGAGAAATGCTGGTGCTCCTTCATCAAACGTGCCTGCTGTGCTCATGCCAGGACACATACTTAAGTCTCTGGCCTCAATATCATGAACAAAACAGAATGCACTGACTGGCAGCAACTGACATTGTCTCAGTCTTGCACTCCTCTGGAGCTGCCTTTGGGGTAGGGCATAAGAAGTCACTTGCTCTTCACTGTCTGCGGCAGAATCTGTGCACAAAAGTGCCTTAGGTCTGAGCCTTGTACCCAGTTTCCAGCTGTCACCATCACAGCAGTATGTGTGGGTCTCGCTCCCTGCCCTCAGGTCTGGTTACAGCCACAACCTGCTTCCTAGGGCTGAAATTTAGGTTTCCAGGTACAAAAGCAAGAGCAGCTTGGGTCTGTAGGGTACAACAGGGATCCCTATTTCCAGGCTTTAGATCCTGGGAATGCTTGGTGCTTTTGGTGGAGTTCACTGATACAGGCAGTGCAGAGAGGTCTCTACTGCAAGACTGGAGCAGGGTGATTTGTGCCATTGAGCAAACACAGCATGGTGAATGGGAGGGAATGCAGGCCAGCGCTGTGCCCCATATCCTGCCATAATTCTCCAGGAGGAACGCTGGCACTTAGGTGTGTCCCCCTAATATAACACTTTGCCCTGTGGGACTAGCACAGATGTTCACCTTCAGCTGGAGAGAATTTCCACTTCTGCAGCGGCACTACCCATATTCACATCTTCGGCCTGATGCCAGTGCTGTGACTTGTAATGCCATGCAGAATGTGGCTTTTCACCCAGAGGGAACAGCTGTCTATTCCCAGCTGTGGCATCCTGAAGGCAGCCCAGTGGTTTGCATGCACCTGGCCTGAAGACTCATACAGAGAGAGATTCCTGACATTTGGAATTCCCTCCCTTTCCCAAGTCCAAAGGAAATTCTGTCTCAGATTTCCTTGCCAGACACGATCCTCCACAGCATCATGATCATCATCCAGATGGCCAAGATCTTGCTAGCATGAGGGAGTCTCTAGCTTTGGAAGAAACTTGCTCCATTCTGCTGCTTCTCCGCAGAGCTGCATTTTAACGAGCCCCTTCTAAGGCTTAGAGGTTCAGGAGCAAAGTACAAAGAAACGCTGAGAATAGCTGCTCTTTTGTCCTCATCTTCATCTCTGGATCTCTCCAGAGACAGATCTTGCCCCGGAGGGAAGGGCAGGGCACATTAGCCGACAATTCCTTTTTTCCTGTGAACTTTGTTTAAATATTTAACAGAAGGAAACTAAAAATATCCCGGGTTAATGCAGCGGGAACCAGACAGCTGCTCTCTTCTTAGGTGTTCTTCCTCCCAGCCCCTCTTTTCAGGCGCACACGGCGGGGTGAGAGCCCCCAGCCCAGCGAGGAAGGCTGCAGGAGGAAGGCTTCCAGCTCGGGAGGGGCTGCGGTGCAGGGCTGCCAGGGACCAAGAAGGGAGACGGCCGCGGCTCCCTGGGAGCTGCAAGGTGCAGTGCGGCGGGCGCAGGACTGGAGATGCTCAGCCTCCACGATGACTCCCTCCTGAGTTCCCATGTCCAAGCGCTCTCTTTTCTCCATCCCACAGCCGCAGGAGGGCACAAATGGGGGATGTCGGTGCTCGTGCTTCTCCCTTCACAATGAAGGGACAAGCTGAATGTCGTGAATGATTTTTCCTGCATGAAGTCTGTGCTGCGGAGTGAATCCCGGGTCAGGTACATAACAGCTCACTGGGGAAGGGCCGGCGCTGCGCCAGGCACTGAAGGGAAGAGGCAAGCGGCATGAAGGGCAGGCGGCCGCCGGACCCAGCAAGGTGCTGTGCCCTGCCCTGCGCTGCCCATAGCGGATGGGTGACAGGCAGTGGGAGAGCTGGGGGAGGAAGGGAAGGGATGGGCGGTGCGGTGCGGAGGACGCTTGGACAAGGAGTGTAGAAAGGTAATTCCGTTTAGCTAAGAGGAAAGTAAATACTAAATATTTGATAGGCATATTTTTGCTCTTAAGTTCTTTACTAATGCTGGACTTTTCTCGCTGATTCACTCTCTCTTTCCCAATCTTCCTGGTTTATCACTTGTGCGCTTCCCCTCTCGCTCCCTCACCCCGGCACACAATGAAGAGGCTCCTTTTTAATAAATGGATTACACGCTCCACACTATAAATAAACACGGGAATTAAGATTCCAACTTGTTCTGGCGATAAGCAAACAAAAGCGCCGAAGCCCCCCCTCGGCCCTCAGACAGGAGTGTGTCTCCCGGGAGGCTGCGCACGTGTCTCTACATGTGTGCTCAAAAGGCAGCTCACTGCTCCCCTGTGTGCGTTTCTGTGGGTCGGGGAGCAGTGCTGCAATGGATACACCTGTATGCGCTGCCATGCTGTGCCATGCTCTGCCCGTCAGGGCTGGGGGTTTGCACCAGTACTGAGCAGAGAGTGATGGCCATGAGGTGAGGGCGCAACTTAACCTCTCTCTCTTGCCTTCCAGTGAGCAGCATGAGGCAGGACCTCGCCGTGTGACGAGGTGTTGCTGCATCTGTGATGGACCCCGGTGCCTGGTAAGTTCACAGCCCCTGTGGATGCAGGAAGGAGCCAGGTGCATGTGCAGCGGGCCTTCCTAGCGTGAGAGACAACTGGATAACATGCTCTTCCTCCTCCCACAGCAGGATGCCTTTCCTGGTCTCCTCCATCCACTCCCTGCAGCTATGGCACTTCCTCCTCCTGGTTTCAGCCATTCCTCCACCCGCCGTCTGGTCTCTCCGCCCTCGTGGTCCCATGGCAGCCCGGCCTCTCTGTGCCCGTCGCAGCCCCTCAGCCCTCCGGCCCATATGCATCTGGGACAGGACCTCACTGCCGGAGTGGGATTCACGCCTTGCCACACCACGCCAGCGGGTCTTGATCCCCCGAGGAGGGGACCAGCGCCATACCGTGCGGCTGAGACGCCAAGCAGCAGGAGTCAGACCTGCCACCCCCTCTGGCTTTGAGGACGGCATGCCCTCCTCCCAGTACCCCTGGGCCATAGTGTGGGGCCCCACAGTGTCAGATGAGGATGGAGGGGATGCCAACTCGGCCAACCCCGGCTTCCCACCACTGGGTTACACCTTTGTCTCACCACGCGGGATGGCGACGGCACAGCCCAACTCCCACTCACTGCTGCACAATGCGGGGCTCAATCTCCGTGAAACCCCGGCCACCCTGCGGCCCTTCCTGTTCGGGCCCCGGGGTGAAGGTAGGCTGCCTGTTGCTTCTCCCAGCCTCGTTCTTGCCTACAACCATAGAATCATAGGGTATCCCAAGTTGGAAAGGACCCACAGACATCACCAAGTCCCACTCCTGGCCCTATGCAGGACCACCTCAAAATTCAAACTCTATGAAAGTGTTATCCAAACACTCCTTGAACTTCAGCAGCCTGGGGCCATTCCCATTTTCCCGAGGAGCCTGCTCCAGTGCCTGACCGCTCTCTGGTGAAGAACCTTTTCCTAACGCCCAATCTGACCTACCCTGATGCAGCTCTGTGTTATTCTCTTAGGTCTTTCTGCAAAACCCATCAGTGCCCTAGCAGAAAGCTTAAATAAACTGCAGCTTTGTGGGGGCTGATAGGGTGGCACACTGTCCTTGTCCCCTTTGTCTTGCAGGAGTGGACCCCCAGCTGTACGTCACGATCACCATCTCTATCATCATTGTCCTGGTTGCCACTGGGATCATATTCAAGTTCTGGTAAGTGGTGCTTGGAATTCATGGATGTTGTTTCACAATGGTGCTCTGGGACTATGGACTTGGGTGCTGAAGAATGTGCTGAACCCTTGGATGCAAGGGGCACTTATTGTCTTGCTGCTCTTCTCTCCCAAGCTGGGACCGTAATCAGAAGCGCCGGCGCCATTCTGGGCAGCAGAGCGGCGGGAGGCAGCAGGACAGCCAGCAGCCCCTCACAGACCTGTCCCCCACTGCCATCAGCATCCTGGGGCCCTACAGTGACTCCCTAGCACCCACCCCTGAAGCAGAGGAACCCAGGCAGGGGCAGGAGGGTGTGGAGAAACTGGGGGGCCACGGGAAAAGCACCGCCTTCCAGCTCAACCGGTGAGTCCAGCAGGGAGCAGTGGGTGGCAGGCACAGAGAGCATAAGGTTGAGGATGAGCAGGGCAGTTTGACCCTCCGAGGAGGGCGCATGCGAGAAAATAGCGCTGACTGGTTAGCGGGGCTCCAGGGCAGCTCAAGTGCCCACCTCTAATTCTTTTCCAATTCCCTTTTCCCCCCAGAATTCCACTGGTGAACCTGTGATGCAGATGGGAGAAGCAGAGCTGGCTCCCCGACCCTCCTGCCACAGCGGGGAGCCCACGCTTCTGCCACCTCTGCTACCCCAGGAAAAAAACAATCTCCTTGTGCCACGGCCCGCTGCCACAGTTGTTAACTAACTCCACCAGGATGTGCCTGGGCAAATGGACGAGCTGGGTCTTGCTAGCATCCTGCGGGGGAAGGTTGGGGGCCTCCGTGCAGGACGGGATGCGGAGCGAGCCGGACGTGGGAGGGGAGGCAGCTGTTGGTTTTGTGAAGTCATAGCCTGCCCTGCCTCTCTCCTCGCACACACACACGCGCTCTTCGACCTCTGTGACTCTCCCACCAGTGCATGCCTGACAAAGGGGTAGGTGAGGTGGAAAGGCGTCCCCCTGTCCCCATGGGCTCAACCCCCTCTGTGTGTCCCTTCCTGTGTTGTGTGCTTTGATGTGAACATCTGGAGTTCAGTGGCTGCAGCTTCACCTCTGGGCTGGGGATCAGGTGGTGGCAGATCCTCCTGTTCCCAAGGCCTTAGCTTTCCTGAGGGCCCCAAGGCAAATCTTGGGAAGAAGAGGCTTACACAGCACCTGTCCCTCTCAACTATCCATTTCCTTGAAGGAAGCATTACCCTACCTTTGATATTCACATTTTCCCATTTTCTTTCTGCCTAACACTCCTCTGTTTTCTGTCTTCAGCTTGTATCTTTCTTCATCTCTTAGTCCTCAGTGTTCCTATTTTTTTCTCTCAGTTCCTTCTCCCCTCTTCTCTTGCCAGTTAAGGTTGGAAAAAGTTCCATTAGTTTTCCAAATGTTTAGATTCCTTGGAAGTCTCCTTACTGCCCCATTCTGCCCCTTCAGTCTCCTTCATCAAGGTTTTATCTCTACTCTGTGGTGATGTTCGTCAGAAAATCAGAGTTGAAGCCTTCTGGGCATTTAGCAAGAGCCCTGTCCATTGAGATCCTGCTGAAGCAGCAAAAGTGCAGCAAGCAGATACAGCTGCATATGAGGAGTTTGAGCTTTGCTAGGCTGTGGTAGGGAATTGCTTTCTGACACTCATGCTGCAGGCAATGAGCAGCAGAGATGACTCTGTTTGCTTGGGATGGAAAAGAGCAATTTAGAGAGCTTTGAGGGATTGACATGCACTATTGGGAGGTCTCTCTTGGAATGCCTTGTGATGGGAGAGCCCTGAAGCAATGCTTGCCAAGGGCATGAGAGAGGGGTACCTCATGTGCCGCCAGACACGGGATGCCAACTTCCCTGAGCACACATTGTTAGCAACAGTTGTTGCCCTCCCATGGCTTTTGTGGATACCTTCAAATAAATTCACAGACCAACACAGCAGCCACTGAACTGCAGAATGATGCAAATTTGGGTAAGGTTGCCCCAAGAGCTGATGGACTGATGTGTTCAAAGACAGGAACTCGGCCACCATTTTAAGGCTGTAGTGTACCGCACAAGGTCTCTGACCAAAAGTTATCTTTTATCTCTGAGAATAGGAAATGGCCTTTCCCCCTTTACCTCTGTAGTAAAAGCATATTCTTGACAGGACAAAGCACAGGGAGTTTCCTACGGGGTCTGGTTCTGCCCATTTACCCAGCTGAACGACTGGTGATCTCAGGTCCCACCTGGCTCACTGTGAAGGACATTTAAATGAGAGGGTAACTTACAATAAGCTTCATGGAAAACAGTAGAGATTTGGAGAAAATGACAGGTCAAATAAAATAATCGGCTTATTAGAAGTACAGAATGGATGAAAGATGTAGGTGGAAAAGGACTCTGGAGGTCTCTAATCTAAGCACAGGCCAAGTCTCCACTCTCAGCAGTGGATATTATTGCTTCACTGTAAATCAATCTATTACTGAGCTTTTTCTTTACTGAGGCCCCTCTCGAGGCTTTAGTGGACATTTCAAGTTGCGGAAGGACAAACAATGGAGCAAGTGGCTCTTCCTGCCTGCTCTCCCACTCCCACCACCCCTGAGTGCAGGTTGGGCTGTTCCCCCTCACACTGGCATGAGCAGAGCTGGAGAAGGATGTCTGCACGCAGCCTGTAAAGGGCTGCATCAGTTATTCCCGGCAGTTTACAATATAATGCCTTCAACTTGTTTAAATAATCTTCCAGACCAGGCTAATTAGATTGCTCTTTGATCAATAGCGCTCGTTGAAACAAGGCCAGAGTTTAGACTCTACCACTTCAAGGGCTGTCCTTGGACTTTCCACATGCTGTTTTCGAGAGAAGGCCTGTGAGAAAGTGGCAGGGCACTGCAGAAGGGGTAGTGAAAACCTTTTCCAACATTTGCTACAGGAAAGCCCTGTGCTGTGCTGGCCATGCTTTGTAAACTCTGCAAACACATCAGATTTCAGTGTTTTGTTTTGTTTTCCTTTAATGTGTCTCTGTTCCTACTTAAAGTATCTCCAAGGAATGAAACCTTTCGTGGACGTTGTGGTAAGATGGAAGCTGGGAAATGCTGTAGAGAAAGCTCTTAAAATAACAGAAGCTTGGAAACGCTAAACATCTTTTCCAGCATCAACTATTCTAGCCAAACATGTTTTTATCATGGTCATTCACTCACATGAAACAGGTTAAATATGGGAAAAACCTTCACTGTCCTTCCAACATTTAGAACATACAAAATGTGTTTGGACACATAAGCTTCTTCCAGTCAATAAATAATCTCACTGCATCTGTTTTCCCCATGGCTGGAGCCTTACAAACCACCTTCCCCTGTGCAGAATGGAGCCTGCCGCCTCACTTGGTCCCAGATAACATTCTGTGAGATGCGCGCACACATGGACCAGTTGACACCACCAAGCATAAGGCCAGAGCAGAGACCAGCACCCTTTCAGTCACAATCTGACAGGTTTCCCCGTCTTCCAGGTTACTGGAGGAAAAAGATCTGGGTTGAATTTTGTCCAGTGGAAATTTCACAGAGAGAAATGTGTGTGGGGAAAACTACTGAAAAAGTTTGTTGATTTGGGCTGAGCCTGTCTGATATTCCTGGTCAATTAGATGGAAATGCCTGGGTGGGCTGGGCAGCTGCGTCCCTGTGGAATTCCTCAAGGGACTTGCTTTTGCAAACAAAAGGCTGTGTCATCCTTCTGGGGTAAGGAGGAAAGGTTCAGGGCACAGTCCTTCACCTCTGCCCTGTGTTGTGTTAGAGCAAGACCCCAACTCTCTTCACCCAACAGAGTGAGGTGACCACTAGGCCAAATCCTGCCTGAGCTTTCCCATCGGTTGGTGATGACTGGTTGACAAGGAAACAGAGCTCAGCCATGTGCTTCCACAGTTCTCCTCCAGTGTGACTTACAGCAACATACCCAGACCAGTGTCCCACAGCTTCAGAGAGGGCTATCTACCTCTTCCTCTGCGGCACCGAAGTGCCCTTGTAAATCTGGCCCTTCACACCCTTTCCTGCTAAGGAAAAATGCTTGGAAAGGAGCTGTTTGCTCACCTCCCACACATTCTCATATGAAAACACCATCATCTTCAGATCGGTCTGAGTAAAACTGTGGTTTTGGCTTTTTGCTCTGAAAAACCACGCCTATGGCACAGCATTACAGTCAAGTCCTACAGCACAAAAGCCCTGGGCCAAACTCCAGCTACCCAACCATACCCCAGCTACGTCTCACTATATCCTAGCCCTACCTTGGCAAGACAATAGAGGGGGGGCCCTTCTTTCACCAGCTGCCAGCAATCTGTTCCTCCTTTCCTGTTGTCTTCCCCCTCCCACTGTTTCCCTGCTCCTGTCCTGTACCAGAGTCTCCCTCCAGGTTCTGCTCCCCTCCTGCTGTTTTGCTCTCCCACTCTGCTCTCGTTCTCTCTCTGCCATTTGGTCTCGTTCTGCTGCAGCTCCCACCCTCCCTTTGCTCTTCCTCCTGCTTTCCGCTCGGTCTCGCTCCCCCTCCTCTGCCCTTGTGTGCTGTGATATATATTTTTGTAGGATTTCTCTTCTTCTTGTGGTGAAATACTCAATTCTTGTGGGATGTTAGTTTCAACATTTTTAAATAAACCTTTGCAAAATACTGCAAGCAGAGCTCTTGCTGCTGTGGAAGAGGCCGCAACAGAGATGTCAGGGGTGGGAAGAGAGGGGCTTCACACTGGTGGCACTGGAGCTCAGGCATCTGCCATCCTGTGCCCTCTTCCTGAAGCAAGAGTGACTTCTGCATCCATCTCACTTGGCTTCCTCGTGACCAAGAAGGTCTTCCAGCCTTCCTTCTAGCCTTCCCCAGGAGCTGGCCCTGCTGCAGGAGGCTGTGGGGGCTCTGCACCCCCACTTCTCAGCCCCGACTGGCTGCTTTTGTGGCAGAGCTGCTACCTCTCAGCCACTTTATGGGGCTGCTTGTCACACACGGGTTTGTGCTGAGAGCCACGGTGGCGGTGAGAGGTGAGAGAAGCTGGAGAGACAGAGAGATGCAGGAGCAGAAGCCTCCCTCTCTCTGTTCCCCGCGGCTGCCTCCGCAATTTCTATTTACAGCCCTGCTGCCTCCCCTCCTGGCCACAGTGCTGCTGCTGCTGTTGCTGGTTTCCAGGGCTGCACTGTAATTAAGCATCCTCGTCTCCTGCAACTCCCCCACTTCATGAGCTCCAGTGTTGATCGGTGCTAGGGTGGGCAAGGAAGGGTACAGGAGACCACAGCAGTGCCAGTGGCACCTCCAGAGGGCAGCTGTGGAATCGTAGTACAGTGGAGAGGGCTGCCCCAGCCAGGCCTGTGGGAGGCTGATAGCACCACTTTCTGTTACTGAGCTGAGGGGTGGGATGTGGCTGTCCCTTAGCCCAGCTGCTTTTGGTGACTGATCACTGGCTCTGGAGACCAATCCGCTCTCACCTGCTGTGTATGGAGACTGTGGGGCTGGGAAGGCTGAAGAAATGCTGCTGGAGAGGTGGCAGATTCTCACTATGCTGACATTACAGACTCACATGCTCATTGGTGCAGTGAAATGGCTTACACAAACCTTGGCTGCCTCCAGCCAGAGCTTCAGCCCTTCCTGTTGGCTCCTCTGCCAGCAGATGCTTTTTTTCCCAATGCCCTCTCTGCAGAGGCTGCAGGCGCTTAATGGGAGCTTCCCCTTTCTTCACCAGGAGTAGCTCCAGGAGCTGACCCATTTTTGGCTGGTTTCTTGGAGCACTGACTCCCCAGTCTGGTCCCATCTCACCAACATTTTCCACTATGTGGCTTTTGCCCCCTTCTCACTCTGAATTCCCATCCCATTCCCAGCCTGCTCCCAGCTCTGCCGCCTCCCCTTGCATACCCATCTTTGTTGCTCACTTTTAGGGGGCTGGAAAGGGAAATTGCATGCTAAACAAAGGGCAGTGGAGACTTAAGGAAGGGATACGTTCGATCAAATAAATCACAGAAGAACACCTAAAAACTGCACAATTGCATCAAGACACATGAAAAGTCCCTCAGGAAGAGGTCAAAAACCAAGCACAAGGTATTGCTGACCACTGTGATTTCTTGGGAAAGAGTACTGCAGAAACACATTATGAAAACAGCTCCCAAAGCTGGGATTCCCTCCAGCTGAATGCCTTTAGTAACCTGCAATAAATTCTCCCATAATGTAAAAAATAAAAGAAATAAAATTCAGGCAAAAGTCTGCTGGTGGTGCCTGTCCATGTTAGGGCTTTGGCAGTGAGCTAGAGCACTCGCTTGCTTCCCCTGCTCAAGGAACATTTCCTCAGCTGGGGTTGGGAGTTAGGCCTGCGTGTGCCCTGCATTGCTCATCCCTATGGGGCTGTCATTCTGCTTTCCACTTAGTGTGCCCTCATAGAGTGCCCTTGAGACAGCCAGCCCAGCACTATGGGCATGGGAGCAATGGAGGGAAAGCACCTGTGGAATTTTGGGCATCCCTGTGCTTCTCAAGCCTGTCGTATGGATTGGGAATGGTGGCAAAGGGTGTGAACAGCTTAAGTCAGAGGTATCTCTATTCCATGCTAAAGAGATGCAGCTGTGCAGATGGCAGTTTAATAGGGAGTAATGCACAACTTAAAATTGCCTTGAAGAATCACCCTGAAACAAGAGACCACACATTTCAGTGTCATGTAAAGGAGCTGAGTAGTTCCTTTTTGGTTTACTCCTGCTTTGATCCTCAGAGGCAGAATTGAATCTTTATTGAGGGCTGCTGTGTCTCCCAGTGCACACTGCAGTTGGTGAATAATAGACCATTCAGTGACGCATTCCCCATTGATCCAAAGCCCAGCTTTCTCAGGAAGTGACCAGAATGCAAGCAAAACCATCTTCAACTTCAGATCAATCCCCACAAGGGATTTGGCAGGGTGATAAATGACAGTCTCTGCTCTGGGGACTTGTCCTGCATCCCTGTCAGAGCTCTGGTGGCAAGAGAGCAGTCACTGCAGGGCAGCCAGCCTAGCTTCAAGCCCAGACTTTGTCAATGGCTGGACATAGCGTGGGGGTTCATACAGCAAGCAAGCAAACAAGCCTGGGGTGACTTGTTTACTGAATGTCAGAGGACCATAGCTAGATGCCTACTGGTCACAGCTGCGTTGCAGCCTGGCTGAAGGGCTAGTTTTCCCACAGAATGCCTGGGCAGGCAGTCATGATTCTTTCAGGTATCATCTGAGCCTCCAAAAAGTGACCAAGAAAGTAGGAGCTTTCTGAGCCCTCCCTAAACCAAGAGATGTGGTGAGTGTCCTCTGCTAGTGTCTGCTAGTGTCTAGCCAGCTTAGTGCAGCAGATGCAGATTTGGTTTAAAGTATTTATTAACCAAACTTTGCATGCAACAGCTAAACACATCCGCAGTGGAGGCTTGTACTAGTGTCATTAGATCAACTCAGAATCACTTGGTGACACCAGGGTGAGTTAGTTGAGCCCAAAATGGTTTCCTTTTCATGTCTTTTTACTTTACAGATTCCTTTCATGAATGGCATACTACATGTGAGTGAACAGCATACAGATGCAGTCCAAGGTTCTGCCTAGCATTACCACATGCTTCCAGATACGCAACAGGACTTGTAGGAGGTGGTAGAGAGGTGTTATTCCCTCCTTTACAGGTTTAAAGGTTTCAGTCCTCCTGATGTTCCTTCCAAAGGATGACACATGTTGTTTCCTTTTTTTGCTGTATTCCTTTCTTGATGTTAATTATTTGGCCACCATTTTGCGGGAACTGAGGTGGAGGTGGAGGCCGTATCATTGGACTTAGAGGGGTATCAGGAACTAAAGTATAGGGGCTGTGCTCAAAACATGCACAGCACAGAGATCACCAATGAGGATGCTGTCAGCATCTGCCCTTGGGCTCCCAGAGCTGGTATTTTGACCTTTGGGCTTTACAGCTTAAAATGTAAAAGTGGTACTATCTGGAGTGGGGCGTACGGAGAAGGGGAGTCTCTCAAACTCAGTTATGAATACAACAGAAAGCCCAGAGAGAATAATGACATGTGAGAAAAACGTTCTGCAAAGAAGCCAAGGATGTAAACATGAAGGAGTGAGTAGTGGCATGATGGATGCACATCATCCTGTACATCAGAGGGGCAAGTGCTTGCTGGAAAAGCAATGTGCTCACATGCAGTGATAATGTGAATCCAGACATCTGCCACGTTGGTGACTGAAAGAAGAGCCCAGAATTTCCCAACTTCTGAGCTGGCTGTGCATCCTTGATGGTTGCAGCCATTTGTTCTCTTCTTCTGTGATAATTGTATGTCATTTCTCTACATGGTTCGCTGCACAAATGACTTCATGTACTTGCCCGAGCTGTGCTTTGTTGTATTTTGTTTAAATATGCAAAATTGTATGCAACTCCATGTGACATCTTATGCAAATTACTTCTTGTGTTACTGTGCATATTTGAAATTAATTTGAGTGCGATCACAACTCTGACTGTGAAGCCCCTGCTTAGGCTGAGCGCTCTCCTGGCTGCACTGATCCCTGCAGTTATCTCAAGAGCAGCAGCCCGAGCCTCCCCCACCTGCCGCAGCCTGGATCCAGAGGTGGGGTGATGCGGCATGGATCAAGGTCATGTTCCAGATCTCTGCCAGTCAGAGCAATCAGAGGGAGAGGATTTAATGGGAAGTTGGGACTCCACACTCATGTCCCAGAAGAGCCCACAGACATACATTCACAGAGAACAATTTGCAGTCCCCACAGAGCCAAGCTAGACTCTGGGCAGCAATCTGCCATCCAGCAGCTCAATAGCTCAGTAAAATGTCATAAGGCATCTGGCCTTAGAAAAAAATACCAGTGTTACAACATCAAGAATTAAACTTCCTTTCTGGAAGAGCTTGCTTCTTAATGATCTGCCCTTTATGGCAGCAAATCTGCAGACAGAGGCAAAATGCTGTAGATACAGGTGCTTCACGTTCTTAAAAAGATCAGATTCCATCAAAAACAAAAAATAAACACATCAGCCATAACACAGGCAGTAATACAATATCTACACTAATCTCTAAACACATACAAGCCATTTCAGCAACATTCTTCATGCTAATTTTCCCTTTTTTTTTTATTCCGCCTGGCTATGAGTCAGCAGCTAGGCTTGAAACCCCTAGCTTTCATCACTGAGGAAGATGTAGACATCACTCCAGCAATGCCTTAATCTTCTACTAAAAAACAGAAAACACAGCGAGTTACAGATTTTGCTGTAACTCCCATTTTACACTGGGCTTGTACATAACCCCCTGTGACCTACAGTGAAATACTTCATGCAAGGCTTTCTGCTGTGGGCAATTGGCTGCAGATGGGTGGCTAGGAGCTGCATGCCATGTCCAGGGCTGCTGATGTCCAGGGCTGGCAGCAAGGCAGGGGTGCTCCAAGGCAGATACTGTTGCTTGATGCAAGACCCAGCGGCACTTCCAGTCCCGAGAGAGATGCTCTCATCTTTCTCCCTGGCAGCTGCTCCTGGGGCATCCCCTTCTCTCATCTCTGTGCCAAACTGGCCTCATCACTGTCCATATTGTCCTGCCTGGAAAATGGGTAAAATACAGGCCTCACCTCAGCCTGTGTGCAAAGCCTCCATTAATAAAATGAAAACAGTGGAGCATTGTAAAAGCACTGCAATGTGGATGAGCCTTCTTGTGCTTATCAGAAATCCTATTGGATCTGCAAGACACCCAGCTGTCACCCAAGGCAACTGGCCCTGGGCCTACCTGTCACTTACAGTTTGCTCTTATTTCCACCCCAGCTCTCCATGTGCTAGAGGCAGCCATGCCATCTCTGGGATTTGTATCCTGCACTCCATGGGTGACTACAGCAGTACAGCTCTCTCTGCAGTTTCCACTGGGCACTATCCCCACCACCCTGAGCAGCTGGC